CAAAGGATTTCCAAATAAGATATATCGAATGCATATTAAAGTTAAACAAATGATCATCATAATTAGCTCCTGTCACTTAACTTTCATTTCTTACTTGTGTGCACATTCAAGGGCACGACGATATCTCTCCTTTATTCTTTCCCTTAAACATAGCCAAAGTGCAAGCAACTGCAAGTATCTTAAGCAGAAACACATAAAGCGGGCTTCACTTTGACACATCATAACTACGGTGCTATGAACTCGGCTGAAGAGCACCTTATAGTTTTTGCCCCCATTATGTAAACAGAGGACCGAATCTGCATTTTGCACTTATAGTCACTTGTCCACATTTACAGACTAGTGGAAAACTCAGAAAAATTCTGTGAGGCACCTGCTGTAAACAGCTTATTATGTCCCTGAGGTTCCCCAAGCCTTGCTTCTTCCCCTCCTGAACCCTTAACATATTGAATTTTTGCCCAGATAGCTATAAGAATCAGGCTATTTTGTGTGTGAAGAGGCATGTGGAACCCACATGGCAAAGTAATCAAAGAACAATGGGCAGTCTTAGGGTTTCCAACTTTCTACTTGCACAAAACCAAACACCCCTGTCCTATCCCTCCTCCAAGACCCCACCCATGCCCCGCCCCTTCTCTGAGGCCCCGCCCCCACTCACTCCAGCCTCCCTCCCTCTATTGCTCGCTTTTCCCACCCTCACTCACTCGCTCATTTTCACTGGGCTGGCTCAGAGGGCTGGGGTGAGGGCTCTGGCTGGGGGCAAGGGGTTCAGAGGACAGGAGGAGGATCAGGGCTGGGGCAGGGGATAGGAGTGTGTGTGGGGGGGGAAATGAGGGCTCTGGTTGGGGGTGCGGGCTCTGGAGTAGGGCTGGGGATGAGGGGTTTGGGGTGTAGGAGGGTGCTCTGGGCTGGGATTGAGGGATTCAGAGGGTGGGAGGGGGATCGGGGCTGGGGCAGGGGATTGGGGCACCGGGGGGGCAAATGAGGGCTCTACCTGGGGGTGTGGGCTCTGGGGTGGGGTTGGGGATGAGGGACTTGAGGTGCAGGAGAGTGTTCGGGGCAGGGATTGAGGGATTCAGTGGGCAGGAGGGGGATCAGGACTGGGGCAGGGGGTTGGGGCCCAGAAGGAGGTCAGGAGTGCAGGCTCCTGTTGGCGCTTACCTCAAGCAGCTCTGAGAAGCAGTGATATGTCCCCCCTCCAGCTCCTACACAGAGGTGCAGCCAGGTGGCTCTGCCCACTGCCCTGTCCACAGGTGCCACCCCTGACAGCTCCCACTGGCCACAGTTCCCGGCCAATGGGAGCTGCAGGGGCGCCACTTGGGGCAGGGGCAGCGCTGAGGAGCCCCCTGGCTGCCCCTATGCATAGGAGCCAGAGGAGGGACATGCCGGCAGCTTCCCGGCAGCTGCACGGCACGGAAGCTAGCAGGAAGCCTGCCAGCCCCACTGTGCGGTGCCATCAACTTGACGGTCAATGGCCCGGTCAGCGGTGCTGACCAGAGCCGCCATTATCCCTTTTCAAGCGGATGTTCCTGTCAAAAACCAGACACCTGGTCACCCTACATATTTAAATTCCATCTGTAGGATGAATCAGGTCTGTACCGTCCTGTGAGAGATCTCATTGCCAGCCTAACTAACATGCCTGAATCTAACCAGCTAACCAATTGTGCCCATGAATCAATTCCACGGACTGAGGGCTAGAAATCACAACAGGAAAGTGCATCCTCATTTTCCATGTATGAGTAAGAGAATATGCCAGTGTAGGCTACAGATAATTAAAGTTTGAAATCCCAGATGTGCCTCTGGACGTAGACATTAGTAAGCAGTACTGCAGAGGTGCATTACATTTATCAAGTGCAATGTCAGATTTCAATAATTACCTCCAATTCACCCAGATTTTAAATGTACATAAGCATGGCAGGTCATGGGATGTAAATTTATTAATAAATTGATTCCCTATGAAACTTTTGCAATATTCCTAATTCATATTTATTAGAGGCAGAAAAAAGTTAAGAGGAACCTATCAGATTGACAAACAGACAGCATAAAAGTTTAGCAGGATGCAGTAGTCTCTTAAGGTGGTCCCCACAACTTCACATGGGTTAAGCTTTATTAACTTTTTTTCCTTTTCCCCCAGAGCAAATAAACAATTTATAACCTTTAATTATGTTTCTTGGTACAGCAAAAGGTTTGTTAAGCAAGACTGCAGAAACGACAATGTCAAAAAGGGCCACTGAATGACTTAATATGTAAACACTCAAAAGTCAGATGGTGACACTAAATAGTACTATGTATTTTAAGTAAAAAGATATAGGACCAGATCCTCATGAGGTGTAAATGCACCATTCAATATGGAGCTACACTGATTTATACCAGCTGAAGACCTGGCCCAGGATGAATGCTCTTTTATGGACACAAGAATAAGGGGAAAATAAGTTTAACAAATCCTAGTATAAACTTTTTTTTCCTTGAAATTAATGAACTTGAAATCTAAAACCATGTCAAATTCAAGTCTTGTTTTCAAATAAGCAAAGCACCATGCTGAATGACCACGGTATTTTTAATATTAGTTTCTGCATTACTTTTTGAGTCAGATAATATACAAAGATAATGAAAGAGAAAAAGAACACATAACCCAAAAAACCAACAAAACAACCCAGATATTTGATAAAAAATATATACAAAATAAATATTAGTCAATCTGTATTGAGGTCTGTTTTGAGGTAATCCAATTACTTTTCTATTTTATTCTCTGAAGGACAATGATCAGCCCATGATCTTATGAAATTTATCTTCCTTATACAGTAGAACCTCAGTTACAAACACTTCGGGAATGGAAGTTATTCGTAACTCTGAGATGTTTTGTTCAGAATTACAAACATTATGGTTGTTCTTTCCAAAGTTTACAACTGAATATTGACTTAATACAGCTTTGAAGCTTTACTATACAGAGGAAAAATGCTGCTTTCCCTTAATTTTTAAGTAGTTTACATTTAACACAGTACTGTATTTGCTTTTTTTTTTTGGTTTCTGCTGCTGCCTGATTGCACTTCCGGTTCCAAATGATGTGTGTGGTTGACTGGTCAGTTCGTAACTCTGGTGTTCGTGACTCTGAGGTTCTACTGTAGCATTCTGGAAAAATATTCCAAATGGCTAATTGTGAATGCCCTTTAAACATTTCCAAATAATCTTTTCTAGGTTTACTAGTCCTCGACCAAAAAGCACAGGAACTGACTTCAAAGCTAGAACTCAGTTTGATTTATCTGTTTGTTTTTTAAAATAATATAATCACACAAACGATAAAATTAGGAGGCCAGTAAATGTGATGTAGGGTGTTACTTAGGATGTGGCTAGATTCTACTCCTTTCAAACGGCCTGATCCAAAATCCACTGAGGCCAATGACAGTCTTCCCAAACTTGGTTGGGTCCTAGGCCAATGGGAGCATTGCCAGTGGCAGAATCAAATCTAAGGGGAAATCAATCTTCTTGGGAATGAAAGGTATGAAATGAAGAAAAGAGACTCACAAATGGCACAAAAATTAATATTGGGCAGAATCCGGTTATACAGTATATCAATAATTTGTAATAAAGTGTATGGAGCAAGTTGGAAAAAAATAACCCAATGAAACAAAACTGGTAGCAGCCAATACAAGGAAAGATGGCAATAGAAATCCAAATGGAGATGGACAGACTACAAATGGGCAGACAAACTCTTATGCAATTCAATGGAGAGAAATATAAGGCAATGAAGTTATGGCTAAAAAACATTAAAAAAACCAATCTACTCACAATATTATTTGAATATGATACATTGCATACCAAGTGGTTCTATGATTTTATCCATCACTAGTGTGGAATTCATGGTTAAGTGGAGGTGGGGGAGAAAGCAATTAATTTTTTTGCATCTTTGAACTTAAAAGTTTTCAAATGTAAACTGAAGGTCTCCCAACCTTGTACCAAGGGCCTGAATGACAAAAACTGGAAAGTGTGTGTGTTTTTGATAGTTTCAGTATAAACCACTTTATAGACATAAAATAAGCATATGCATAGAAGAACGAACTTTAATAATGGAAGAGAATTAGAAAAATTTTGTCTGCATTCCTTAAAAAAAGAGAAGATTCCTTTAGTATATTCAAAACTTTCAAGGGACCATGGCACTTTACAGAGATGTTAAAAGGCAATTTGTCATCCTAAAGAAAAGATAATACCTTAGGCTTTGCTCCCTAAAGTCTAATAACGGACTCACACCTGTATTCCTTACTGACTCTCAACTCAGTCAAAACTCCCACTGACATCAGTGGTTCAGGCAAAGAACTGGGGGAAGGATGGTTTCTATTAGCGGCTCTGCCACAGACTTCCTGAGTGATCTTTTTCATCTCAATCAACTTCTCTGTGCCTCGGTTTTTCCATCTGTAAAATGGGGGTGATAATACTGCCCTACCACGCAAGAGTGTTGCAAACCTAAACTCATCAGTGCTTGTGAACTCAATAGTGCTTTGACCTGATGAAGCCTGGGTACTAGAAATGGGCACTAAAACTTAAAACTGAGAGATGGAAACACATGATGAAAATGCAAGTTATTCTTTATTTATTATGAGAGTTTTTACTTCTTTAGGAATGACTAAGGAGTGGCTGTCCATTATATATACTAGCATACTCATTGGAGAGCACTGCAACACTCCGGTACAGGAGAAGGAAAGAACAGATTGGCAGCCTTGACTTTGAATTTTTGGCTTGGTCAGTTTTTCACAATTTGAACATTTAAAAAAAAAATAACGGGTCAGATTTATCCCAGACTCCTACAGGCTTATACCAGGGGATGAATGAGGCCTGACCTATTCGTTAATTAGATTCAGAGAGTGGAAGACATGTTTACTTTCTGTGACTTAAAGAGATCAGCAGGTCAAAGTATTAAATGTCACTTCAGATCTATATCAGGCTCAGGCACTTCCAGCAGCAGTGACCAGGAAGGAAGAACTACATTATATACTGATGCTGCAGTTACTAACATTTTAAACTTCTTATGTATGCAAGATGTTGATTCCACCAAAACTGAATTCCCTCCACAGCCAGATCTAACAGCAGGTAGTTTCCTCTTTCCTTCTGCTTCATGGGCCACCTGATGAGAAACATACCATTATTTTAAAAACATCTCCCTGGGATGGCTCGAAAATTCTTAACGTTTTATATTATAATAAACGGGCTTTTCCCACTCCTGTCTCTGCTGTGTTGCCCAGCCAATCCTGCGGGAGCTATCCTTCCAAAAGGTTCCCCACAATCAACGACCCTCTCCATTGGCGGAGGCAATCCAAACCGCAGAGAGAGAAAGTGCATTAAGTTTTCAATGCAAAATGTCTATCCCTCTGATTTGGTAGCAGGAGAACCTGGCAAAGCACAGATGTCACTCCCCTTCCGGTCCCTGCCCTCTCAAACTTGACAAAGCCCACTCCCTGCAGGGCCCCATCAGAAGGATTTCTGCAGCACTGGGGAAGGAAACAAAAGTAGCATCCCAAACTCAGATTTGACATAGGCCTCTCTCTGCCCGAGGAAGAAGAAAGCATGGAATATGCATAGTCTATTTTTAATGAAAGATTTTTTTCTTCTTCTCTTGAAACGCAGTGAAAGCCAGTGTAATGACTCAGCTGGAACAAAGCACAGCAACAGTCAGATTGTACAGTATTACTCAAATATTTAGCGCTCTTAGGACCTGATCCAAAAGCCAATGAACTCAATGGGAGTCTTTCCACCGAAGCCCATACAGTGCTTATCATGTGTAGATCTCAAAACACTTGATATAGGAGGATAAGTGTAATTATTCCCACTTTACTTACCTGTCCACCACATCACAAAGCTTAATAAGGTTCAGCAAAGTGAGTATTGTCTCATTATAATTATGCAAGTTATGTTTACCTGCAGTTGTACTGTGGAAGTGCCGATCAGAGAAAGCACACTGTTTTGATTAAAAATATTATAAATTGGCCCAGAAAATAGGTACAAGATCATGAACTGCTCTCCTAATGACTCAAAAAAGTCTAGAAATTAATAGAACCCAAGGCCAGAAGGGACCATTGTTATAATCTAGTCTGATCTTCTGTATAACATAGATGAGAGAACTTCCCCAAAATAATTTCTCGTGCAGATCCTTTAGAAAAACATCCAATCTTGATTTAAAAATTGTCACTGATTGGGAATCCATCATGACCTTCGGTAAATTGTTCCGATGGTTAGTTACTTTCACTGTTAAAAATTTAAACCTTATTTCCAGTCTGAATTTGTCTAGCCTCAACTTCCAGTCCTTGGATCATGTTATAGCTTTTCTTTGCTAGATTGAAAAGCCCATTATTATATATTTGTTCCCAATGTAAGGACTTGGGGGCTCTGATCAGGACTCCCCAAAACCTTCTCTTTGCTAAGCTAAATAGATTCAGCTCCTCTCTGAACCCTTTCCAAGTTATCAACATCCTTACTGAATTGTGGACACCAGAACTGGACACGGTATTCCTGCAGCAATTGCAACAGTGCCAGATATAGAGGTAAAATAACCTCTCTAATTCTACTCAAGATTCCTCTGTTTATGCATCCTATGATTGCATTAGCTCTTTAGGCCACAGCATCAGTCTGGGAGCTCATGTTCAGCTCATTATCCACCATGACCCCCAAATCTTTTTCGGAGTCACTGCTTCCCAGGATAGAGTCCCCCATCCGGTAAGTATGGCCTACATTCCTTTTTCCTAGAGATATACATTTAACATTTAGCCATATTAAAAGGCATATTATTTGCTTGAGCCCAGCTTACCAAGTGATCCAGATTGCTCTGAATTAGTGACCTGTCCTTTTCATTATTTATCACCTCCCAAATGTTTGTGTCATCTGCAAACTTTAGCAGTGATGGTTTTATGTTTTTTTTTAGGTACGTAATAAAAATGTTAAATAGCACAGGACCAAGAACCACTGTGGGACCCCACTAGAAACACACCCATTCGATGGGGATTCCTCGTCCACAATTACATTTTGAGAGCTATCAGTTAGCCAGTTTTAATATGCACCATGTTAGTGATGTATATTTATAAAAGATGAAGCGTTGCTGCTTGGGGGCAGACGGAAGACTTACACCGGCTTTTTGTTGTTGTTGTCGTCTGTTTCCCTTCATTTATAAGTTTGCAAAATTCAGTCATTTGCAATGCATCTCAGTTAGCATGGGAATCAGCAGGATGCTACCTGTACGGTATCTCTCACAGGAGCAGAGAATTGTGTTCTTAATAACTTAACTATCTATTTCCCTCAACTTGTAATTCTGGGAAGGCGGGGGGAGTTATTTTGCTCTCCAGGGAGGTATTTTCCCTGCATGAATACGCTGGTCATTAACTTGAAGCTGAACTGCGCAGAGTCATCTGTTCCCTTTGGTTCTTTCATTTAAGTACAAATATCAAAATTGCCAGAAAACAGTAGGGGTTCTTTTCCCGTTGTCAATCAGTCCCTTCCTCTCGCTGCTCCGCAGTACAAGTTATGGCACGTTATGTTTAAAGTACACAAGAAGAGCCACATTCTGATATCAGCAAAGCCACTAAAGCCAATGGACTAAATTTACCCCAACTTTCTTAAGGTCCACAAACATCAGGAAGTCTGCTAAGGGGCAATTGGGGCTGCATAATATGGTCTCAACCTCTCTGGTGCCCCACAGTGCATCATGTACTAAGTTCAGCATCCACTAGCAAAACTGCCCTGGAGCCCTGGATGGAAACCAAACCGAAGCTGACCTTCTCTGGCAGAAGCCATGAGGGATGGTGGAACTGGAGCAATCACTGCCTTCCTGTGGGATGCTGGAGTGCTATTGTGCCCCCCCCCCATACCTTCTAGATGTCTGGTAGTGTGCTCTTTGCACCACAAGCACCAAGGCAAGCACTGTAGGTGCTCCAAGTGCTAGGATCTAGCATCAGCTTGGCCCCACTATGCCAACTATTTCCAAATGCCACACTCCTCCCAGGGCCACCAGACCCTTTGTGACCCACTCCTCCCCACCTGGCATGGAACCTCCCTGCTTCTGGAGAGTATCATCCATCCCCGCACAGCAGAAGAGATTAATTCTTAGCAGATTCACCACACTGCCCTCAGCCGATCTATGACTTCTCAACAGATTAATCACAGCGGAAATACTAACTGCCCTGAACTCTACAGTGTGGAGAATCCCCTCGCCAGTCCCTAACATAATTCTCTGGGTATGCAGTAACCACCAAAAAAGTACCATAAGAACAGCCATACTGGGTCAGACCAAAGATCCATCTAGCCCAGTATCCTGTCTTCCAACAGTGGCCAATGCCAGATGCTTCAGAGGGATATTAAAAGAACTGAGGTTTAGGAGCTGAGTCAGCCATGTTTAATGATGGAATATCTATGCGGCAGTCTCAGCGGTATAGCCAGTCAGGAAGGATGAACCAGCAGCTAGGGTGCTCATCTGAGAGACCTGGGTTAAATTCCTTTCTCTGCTACAGATTTCCCTGAGTAACATTCGGCAAGTCATTTAGTCTCTCTGTGCCTCAGTTCCTCCTGTGTAAAATGGGGATAATAGCACTTCCCTTCCTCAGAGTGCTGTTGTGAGGATAAATACATTAAAGATTGTGAGGCACTTGGATATGACAGTAAGAGGGGTCAGTACTTAGGGTAAATACAGAGAGCATGGTGCTGAGACATCAGATAGCACATGTTCATACAGAAACAAGCTGGGTCCTTTGGCCTCACGTTTTACTCAGCCAAAGATATAAAAATCTGAACAGAACAGGACATTATTTTTACCCTGTAAACACAAAGCATCCGTAAGTTATTTAAACATCAACAGCAACTGCACTGATCTAGATTTCATCAGAGAGTCTCAGCATCACCTTACAAACATTATTTAACTCAGCCACACAGATGAATTATTATCCCTATTTTACACATAGAGTAGTTGAAGCACAAAGGACTGTGATTACTGCTATTTTTACTGAATGCCTTTAGTGTATCTGGTGTTGTTCAAGGATCTTCTGCTACTACAACAAAAAAGTCAGACAATACACTACAGCTTCATGAGAACTTGGGTGATGGTCCAATCTTGGGATCAGCAGTGCAGATGCCTTTGGAGGAGGGAAGAGATGTGTTACTATTATATTTTACTGGGGGAATTGTTTTTATTTTTAATTTGTTACTTAATTGTCACTGAACATTATTATTTACAACTTAGATACCACACTTGAGAATTGGGCAATAGATTAGATATGCTTTGCAAAAAAGCATTTTTTTAAGGCACAATATGAATAAAGGAAGGAGTCTGTTTGGCATGATAAAATAGCCTGAAGCCAACCAACCATTCTGCTAATTCAGCCTCCTTACACTCCACTGATAATGTCTGAAAACAGATTTTCGTGAAGTACAGCTATTAACAAAAGAGTTTGATTAAGTTTATATATGCCTTCAATGACTGCTTGCACCCCATGTAGTGCACTCTGGAGACGATTTTCCCTTTGTTTGCAGCAAAAAAGTTTTCCAAAACGATAAAACATATTTATGCTAATCTTTCAAACAGCTCCATCTTCTGGCATATCCATTCAACACTACATTCAAAAATCATGACTCACTTATTATCAGTTGTTAATTCTGTTTGATTTGTAATAAACGGTGTCTGCAAAACATATGGTGAGAACTGTGAACAATAAACATCTGACTGTGAGCACTTTTTGTAGCAATCTCTGAAGGGAAGGAAAGAGAAACTTCACTTTCATCGCTCAACACCGAGGGTTGACTGTACAGACAGTTGTCAGAACAACAAACGCACAAGAAAAAAATGTTGATATAACTCTTGAATAGCACGAAGGGGCGATTCTGCCACCCTTACTCACCCTGATTATTATTCACTTTTCTATGGCCCTGACTGATGAAAATACTTAAGCACATGCTTAACTTTAATCAAGTGATAAAACAATTTTAACGTCAATTGGACTCCTCACATGCTTAAGATTAGGCATGAGCTTAAGTGCCTTGCTGAATCAGGGACGACAGGGCCCTGATTCAAAGTGTACTAAAGACAACTGGAGTCTTTCTATTGACTACACTGAGCTCTGGATCACGCCCCAAGTGAGTTGTCCAAGT